CTTGTATGTTTTTTCATTTCTCTCAATAAAATAGTGGTTTAAAAAAAAATGCACAAAAAAAATGCAAGTGCACGAAAGATGGGCTCTGTAAAATTAGGCTGCAGATTTCTCACCAGAGTTGCACCCTGAGCAGCTCTTTCAGCCAAGTATTCACAAGGCTTGAAAAATCCACCATACTGTTTTGACCACTCCTCCAACCTCGAATAAATGTATTTCGATCCAAGAGAATCCGCCCAGAACATGAGTCCTCCCCTACTCAAGAAGAACATAAAATTTTATACACTAGTTCCTGAAACTGAAGAGATCTACGTCTACCAAAATGAAACACAAGTTAAACAAACCTGTAAGACGGGAAACCCATTCCCATTACACCAGCAATGTCCAGATCTGCTGCTTTGACTGCTATTCCTTCAGCAAGGACACGACAAGCTTCATTCACCACGGGGAAGAATACCATCTCCACTATATCATTTTCTGATAACTTTGTGAGCTACATTAACCAAAATCATTTAGTCATTCTACAACAGTTATCCCCCAAGTTAGTAAACACTGCACTCCAAAAGTGTATATTTTCAGGATTTTAACACTGGATGAACTCTTGTGTTCATAAACAAACAATTTTATGACATGATTCAAGTACTGCATTCTCCTGCCCATGCTGAGGCCACAAAAGAAATGCTAAGTCAAGATAAGGAAGCAAACAAGTGTTTCTAAGTAGAAAGGGGGGAGAGAAACCTTAGGGTCAATTGAAACACCAGAAGTGCTCATAGCCTTCTCAATATATTTCTTCAACTCAGGATTCGGCCCAGCTTTGCGGTTCTTGTCATAGACGTAGAAACCTTTACGAGTGGATTCACCTGAAATGAGGTGTAATGTCGTCTCAAAATTAAAACAGAGGAACAGGACTTATGTGTTAAGACCATCTAAAAATTGCAGAATAAAGGAAGCTATATTCGATAAACAACCCCACGCATCTTTCTGGACGATAAAGCTACCTGCATTCTTATCTTCTTGCATAAGAGGAATTAGCATAGATTTATAAGTTCTTTCTGGAAAAGCTTGAACAAACTGACTGGTAGTTGCTGCTGCCACACCAAAACCAACAAGGTCACACAACCTGAAAGAACAACACAAAAATGAGTAGAAGAATACTCGGTATGATTAATAAGAAAAGAGCTGACCAGCAAATTTCATTGAGTATTATAAACCTGAAGGGCCCCATTGGCATCCCAAACTTGGAAATTGCCTTGTCAATTCGATAGGGATCTACTCCACGTTCTACAAGTAAAATTGCAGCTTGAGAGTAAGGAAAAAACATTCGGTTGACAGCAAAACCTGTGCAATTCCCAACAACAACGGGTGTTTTCTTTATATTCTTTCCAACATCTAGCAGATCAACAATCACTTGAGCAGCTGTATGCTTGGTACGAACAATTTCCAATAGCGGCATGACATGGGCAGGACTGCATCAGAAGCAAAAACTCAATGCTAAGCCAAAAATAACCTTGAGGTGTGGGGGTTGGAACTTGAATACCTGAAAAAGTGAGCTCCAATAATTCTGTCACGAGACTTTGTTCTCTCTCCAATCAACTCCAAATCTATTGTGGAAGTATTAGTAGCAAGTATGCAATGTGGTGGGCAATATTTCTCAAGATCAGCAAATATCTGTTGCTTCAGAGAAACATTCTCAATAACAGCCTGTTTCAAGAACACCAAAATCGACATCAACTATTGCTCATGACCCGGTGGAGAAAAGGGAGCCTTGACAACACAAGAAAAAAGAAAAGCATCACGAGGTACCTCTATCACCATATCCACATCTTTAAAACTTTCATAGTCGAGGACTCCCTTAAGTAGCGAAATAGTCTTCTCAAATTTCTCTTTTGTCATAATCCCCTTTTTGACTCGGCTTTGTAGGTTTGCTATAGGAGTATATATCAAATCATGGGTTTAAGGAAAATCTGAAACTGAATGGTGAAATACAGAAGGGCTTACCTCTGACTCTATCTATACCAGCCTGCAAAAACTTATCGTTCACTTCTTTAAGTATCACAGGATAGTTACTGAGAATCAATGCTGTAGCTATTCCTGATCCCATTAATCCTCCTCCCACAATAGCAACTTTCTTCATTCTTCGTGGTACCAACCCAAGATCAGTAACTCCAGGTACCTATCAATTATAAAGAGAGAAGAACGTTGACGTGAATAGGGCTATGTGACCATCCTCTATAACAAGTTAGCTAGAACTACTGATTCGATTATGGTTTGACTTATCTCAAGTTATTGAAGCACTCAAATTTAGTTTTGACAATTAGTATTTGTAGTAAGCTAACAGAACTTTTAATATGCCGCATGTTGCAAGAGCATAGGTGAGTGGTAAGCGAACATGGGGAAGTTCACTTTAGCTGGTTAGGTGGAGCGCCATCTAAAGTAACAGATGATTACACCACCCGAAAAAGATAATGAAAACAAATAAAACAGCTATGAACATCCAAAGATCAAGAGATCAAGAGACCAAGCTACTCAAGTAGAAAGAAGAATACTCATAGAAGTTCTGGCACTAACATAAAACCTACACAACATTCATGTCATTAATTTTCTAACCTTTGTCGTTGAGCGCTGAGCGAAGAAGATATGAATTAAGCTTTTACTAGTATCTGAATGTAGAAGTCCTTGAAATTCTTCAGCCTCCTGCAATAACCAGGACAGAATACATATATTGGTGAAGCGACTCCAATTTGAGGGGAACAAAGTCGTAAAGAAGATAGGAAACCTTCCAAAGTCCAGCATGGGGACCGGAGACAACACCCGTTTCAATGACATCAATGCAGACAAGTGGGTGCTTAAGATTCGGGGATTGTTTCTTTGCCTGAGTTCTAGCAAACCTAAATATTTCCCTAGCCTCAGCAAGGGACTCTAACTTGTTGGTCCTGTGAAGACTGAGAACCCATGGCCTTCTCCGCTCTAGGATATCGAGAGCCCATCTACGTGCAGTGTTGATCAACTCTTCAGGAGGGACAATGGCATCAACAAGTCCCAAAGAGTAAGCTTCTTGTCCTTTAATCGGCTTCGATGTCTGTTTACATATGAATAACAAACAAGACGAATCAGAGAAATTAATATATGCATGTCCCCAATGCATCTATATACGACCTGTTGAAAAACTTTATCCATCTAACTTACCAGCATCATCTCAAGAGCCTTTGAAAGACCAACAAGACGTGGAAGCCGCTGTGTTCCTGAGTAGTTTAGAATCTCGAGATCAACATAAGCAAAAGAAAACACACCCACCATTCCAAAAATTCAGTCTGAATTTACAATCAGTGAACGTTCTTCACGTAAAGCCTCTAAATATAGTCTGAATCATACCCAATAGAAAACTAAAACAAATCATCTGTTCATTCTCCTAAGACAAATAGCTATCAGGATGCACGATATTTTTAAGTCCTTAAGAACCAACCGATACCGATACATAAAAATAAAACATACCTCCAAAACCAGGAATTAATCCAAGCTGAAGTTCGGGCAACCCTAATTGTGCAGTAGGAGTTGATATTCGAGCATGACATGCCTGACAGGGAAGGGCATCGAAGAGATTATAACAGGATTCAAATTCATCCTAATAAGAACCAATCCAACAGGATTCAAACATACCATTGCAACCTCTAACCCTCCACCCAAAGCAAGTCCATCTATCGCTGCAACCACGGGTTTTCTCGCAGCTGCTCGATGGTATTAAAGAATTAATTCTCAGTAGCCTCAGCACAGAACAAAACCATAGTAATAACTCATTACCTTCAAAAATATCAGTGATAATTTCAATTGATATATTGCTAACATTTGGTTGCTGTTGCTCCCCTGAAACAAATCTTACAAAAGGTCAATAATATGCATCCCTACTAATATATTGGGCAAAGTTTCTCCTAACCTCTGTGAGGCAAAGTTTTTTCCAACTATGTTTGGTGCTTTTAGAATAAGTGGCTTTAGCAAAAAGTTGTTAATGATTTGTTTGCTTCTACACTCTCAAAAAGTGCTTTCCAGTAAAGTACTTCCTAGCATGGAATTAAGCCTACCTTTTCCTCCTTGGAGTACACCAAAGGCAGCAATATCAAAGCCACCAGAAAACTTCCCTTTCGCACCTACACTCCAAATAGCATCAGTTATTAGTTTTTTCCCTTCCCAAATTCATAAACAAAATTCACTTTCACAGATCACTAACCTGTAACAACAATTGCCTTCACATCATCTCTTCTCAAGGCCTGTTCATAACTCTCTCTTAAGCTGAATAGCACTGTATTTTTGTGTGGAAATAAGCATTTTATAGCCAAAAGTTGTGAAGCTGAGGAATAATTGAGAATGGAGAATGTATTTGGTAGAATTGAGTTATGAAAACTGTACCATCGAAAGATAGGGAGTTAACTGGAGGGTTGATGATGGTGATGATTGCAACTCCATCAGCTCCCACCTCCATTGCTGTTCTTCCCTTTTTTGCAATGCTTCCCATTTTTCCCCTCTCTCTCTCTCTCTCTCTCTCTCTCTCTCTTCTCTAGGATGAAGGCGTGGAATAATGGGAAAGTTTTGTACAAGTAAATCAAGAGAAATGGAGAGGGAGGTTCATAGACGTGTCCATTTCAAGTGTGAAAGAGCATGGCACTTTGGCACAATTCCCAAAAAGGGATAACTATGATTCAGCTTATGAGATCCCTTCGGTGGATTGAATTATAAATTTAATCTAATTATACTTATTCGAATCCCTCCTCCAAAAATAGGAATCAAACTTTTTAGTATAAATAAGATGCGAGAATTTAGACCATCTATCTTCAAAAGTTAAATATTATACTCAAAAAATAATCTTCCCAAGTTATAAATATTAGTATAACTCAGTAATCATTGACATCCATATATCTATCAATATTTATATGTATTTATAGGTTCGATATTTTAAAAGATAAATCAATATTTCTATTATATTATAAAAATAAAATTGTTAAAATATGAAAATTATTAACATAAATGTCTCTATTATATGCGTGATATTTAAAATTAAAAAATATTTATTTGTTAATTTAGATATCGTTTTTCTAATTTCTCTACCTTTATAGAAATATCTCTTCAATATTTTTTTATGAGACTTCGACATTTCTAGGCATTTAAAATCTTGGTTCACAACTTTTTCTCTCCCAAGTGTGAAGTTCAAATAATTAAAAAAAATATCCTCGAAGTTATAAATGGATAGTGTACCTTCTAGAATCTGAGAATGGTACCTTTCTTTTACTTCCTCTTTATTGGTCACCGCTTTCGGCAAATGCTTGTCCCAATATGCCCAAATGTTATGGGTCAAGATGGCCCCACTTGATCAACGGTCAACAGCATCGTATCTAGATTCATGCCGATGACGATCAAAATTTGACGGTGGATGATGCTTATCGTATCCGATCGCATTCGTTATGCGCCGCAGCGTATTTTAGCTTCCCGCCGCTTCGCTTTTGGATCTCATCTCGTATTCAAGCACGTAAAATCCGCGTAATTTTCATTTCTATGCGTAAAATTATCGCCACGTGGCATGGGTAGTTCTGGAAACAAGCTTTAGCCGCGCGAGGCCCTTTTTGTGCTCTTTCTTGGACCAGCCCAACTCCACTTGGGCCGGCCTTCTTCGGCACATGATTATTTATCATGGGCCCAGACCACAATTATCCAATCAAAATCTCGTTTATTCCCTTTTAATTAAATAACCTTTTTTTTTCAAACACCCCATTTTAAAGAACTTGGCAACAAATGTGAATGCCTATGATTTAAATAATATGACCGTACCTTTCCATTTCAAATTTCCCTAATAACCAATATTTGCGACATTGCCATCGCCATCACGAAAAAAATAATGCACCCATCAATCAACAATGGAGAAATACTACGCTCTCGAAGGCGCTTTAGAGAGAGAGTAAGAGAAAGAAAATCGAATTTGGAAATTCGAAGGGTTTCTTTTTTTTCCCACCCTCACATGCTTTAAGTTAAAGCAAGGCTATTGTTTTAAAAAAGAAGTGCATTTGAAGCTATGATGGGGGGTGTTAGTAAATATCAGAAAGAAAATGGACTTTTTCGTTGGGCCCACTTTGAGATCCACCAGCCTCATTCTTTGTCATGTGGCCCCCACGTGACCTAAACAACTAACTCCGCTCCTTTGCCCAACAGGTTTGATCAATATTAAATCACATTATTAGATTTCTTTTCCTTTAGTTCTAATTGGCTTTTTAGTGATATATATCTTTGAGCAGTTAAAACTAAGTTCAATGATCTTTTTATAATATATGAAAGTGAAGATTCAAACTCACAATCCTTTGATCAAATCATAATGAATTGATTCCGAATGTTGTTTTTTTTAACGTGTGAAACTTTCCTCAAGTATAGGTAAGTAGGTAGGAGTCAAAACCAACCACAACAATAATAATAAAAGTTTAAATACTATACTCTCGTATGTATTTTCGAATTTGGCTCATTAGTTCATGGATTTTCAAAACGTCTATTTTAACTATTATACTTTTAAAAAGTGATAACTTGGGACTCTCTACGTTCACTTTATCTCATTTATTCCGATCATAATTATTACATGATACTTTATTCACTAAATATTTAAAATATTATAAATATAGATCATATTGGTCCCTTTATAAAATATAATGCCTGAGAGGAACATTTTAAAATTACAATAAAAGTTGAAATTATAATAAACAATATTAAAGTTTTGGGCCGCAATAAATTAGAGCATTACGAAAATAGTAATTAAACACAAAAAAGACTTATCCGTATCTGAACTAATAAATATTTACAGCAATAAAAGCTTAGTCCTTTATTTATTTTTAAATTTCATTTGGTTTGGAGTATTGGTGGCATCATAGGTATCGAAATAAGATAGTACTCTTTTACCCCTGCTTGATGATAATATTACGTTTCGACCATCTCAACTGCCGTAGCCGCTCCCTGCTGTGAATTTCGGACCAACTTGCTATATTATACAATAAAATATTTTGTATTTATATAATTTGATGTTTGAAATATATAATATTTTTCATTTTCATTTTCAACCTGCAACGTTCAAATATCTTTTCAAATTGTAAGTTGTTCCGAATAAAGATAATAATATAACTTTTGAATCCCTAAATTAAACTCAATAAATGTAAATGAGCGAATAAAACTTCCCTTTCCACTGCTCATCACTAATATTTTAATGGTTAAAATACTATTTTTATCTCCGTACTTTTAATTTTTTATCATTCTTATTATTGTACTCTTAAGATGTTCATATTGGTATCTATACTTTTAACCGATGATCATTTTAGTCCATATTTGTAAAATTTTAACAAGAATTCTACACATAACGAAAATCATTTAATAAAAAATTATTATTATTTCTTAAGAAATATATTGAATGCAATGTCGTGTTAAAATTGTAATATAAAAATAAGATTAAAAATAAAATTAAGCCACCAAAATGATCCATTTTTAAAAGTACAGGAACTAAAACAAACATTTAAAAATACAAATATTAAAATGAATAAAAATTAAAAGTATATAAATTAAAATGAACATTCTGACAGTATAGAGATTAGAATGAGCCAATATTGAAAATACAAACATCAAAACAACGCAACTAGTCAAGACACATTGTTGGTTTCTTGAAACTATTGATGTTTTTCAATCTAAACTTAATTCTAGTGAAGGTATCAATATTTCTTCTAGGTCAAAAGTTTGAATTCTTGTGTTATTAAAGCTAGGGAACACCATGAAGCTTTTTCTTCAGTTCAAAAAATAACAAATACAAGGGGATGGGAACAAAAATGGAGGTTTAAATATTATTTTGATTGAAAAAAAAAACTATTTTATTTTTCGTACTTTCCGTTTAGTTCGTTTTCGTTCTTGTATTTTCAACTTTGATTTATTTTAGTTCATATAGTTGCAAAACGTCTGTTTTAGTTTTTGTATGTTTAACAAAGTGATTTTTTTTAGAACTACCCTTTTAGTTTTTATTTGTAAATTTTTAACACAAAATGATATGCACAATTTCTATTACAATTTATTTACAACTATGTTCCAAATTTTCAATAGATTTTATGAGTGAAGTGTTCATACTAAAATTTACGATCGAAGTAAACGAGATAAAAATGAAATGACTAAAACAGTCATTTTTTTAAGTACTGGATCAAAAGGAACATTTTTAGTATCAAAATTGACATTTGAAAATTACATTGACTAAAATGAACCAAAAATAGTATTTAAACAAAAAATGAACAAATATTTATGTATTTGAAACGGTTATAGGTAGAAAATGCTTTGAAACGAGGAAAAGAGAATAATTAAATGAGTCTGGAAGTCTGCCAACAGCAATTGATATCTACTCCTTTTCTCACGTGGAAAGGCTAAAATATTTGTACCTCAAGAAAAAAAGAAATAAAAGTTTGTGAGTTTCTATTTCAAAAAAGAAATAAAATTAAATGATTTTGTGAGTTCGAGGAAGCAGAAATTGTCATAAACGCGTACGTGCCGATGCATGGCATCGGGCCCTCTCTCAGTTAAAAAGCCCATTTCCCAAAGTAACTTATGCAAATCATGTGTCTCACGTGCATCTTGCTTCCTAAATTTGTACATACACCTAACTTTTTATTTCCACTCTTCACAAAAATTTACCATTATACTCCCTTCCATTTAATACAATTCCGAGAGAGCACACTACAATGAAAGTTATAAGCGCTATCCAAAAGATACTCAAATGGTGGATGTGTTGATCTACATCTCGGTCGAAGTAATAAGAATTAGACCTAATATGATTCTAAATCGCGTGCTTAAATATATCATCATTTTTTTTCTGCCTACATCTATCTATTATTTAGTGGATAAGACATCTATTATTTATCTTATCTTAGTTTGAATATTTGATCTTCATCTTCATACTCGTTACACATAGGAAAAAAAAAGCGAATCAATCTAGTCATGGACTTTTAAACTTCATTACATGAGTACACTAAACTTGAAGAACCAGTTGAATTAATATCCCGTTTAAATTAAAATAGAAAGTGAGTCGTATAGTTCAACTAATATATTATTCGAAATAAAGTCAAACAAATGCCTAAAACAAATCATATAAGACACTTAATGCACATCCATAAACTTGAGTATATTAAAAAAAAAGACATAAATTTAATAGTAAACCACACAAATATAGCTAAAAGGTCTCGGACCCTAATACCAAATTAATGCTATAAAAATATTATTTTATAATCACAAAAACTATTCATTTTGACCGTGATGAAATAAAAAATTTAAAGTTATAAATAGCTGCGTAATAAAAATACAAAAGGAAAATTTATATATTATACCATCATATAATTTTTTTTAAGCTACCATCATATAATTTATTTCAACTTTGTTGGAACGATTAAATGTACTTATATATTATTCTCTAAAAAAGGAAGAAAAGAAAAATAAAGACAACAATAAAACAAGAGGAAAGAAGTGATGAAGAAATAACTTTAATTCAAATTAAGTTGCGTGTCATTATTTGTCAACCAAACGTGCCCCAAAGACAAGGGCATTTCCGTCAGCCGACAAATTTCAGAGTTCAAAATTATGCCTGCCGGGGCCGCTCGCTCTCCCCCGTCCATTGGCGGCGTTGAAATTACTCAAGAATTCGAGGGGCATTTTAGTCATTTAATATAAAACTTAAAATAGCGGTTTAATCCATTTTGAATATAACCAGCCAATTACAATGTTATTTTTCGCCTTTTTCCATTAATTAAAAAATATTCTTTTTTTTTAGGCCTACTCTGTGGCGTGGAGTGTTCTGTTTACCATTTTCGCCAACTCATTTCTCACATTCATCACAAAGATATATAAATTAAAAAAAAAAAAAAAAGAAGTTCGGCGAGTTTGTATATTTCCCATTCCCCCCTTCCTTCTCTCGACGAGATTAGGGTTTTTCATCCTCTGTTCGATTCAGATCTGATCTCTGATTCCGATCTTTGGATTCTTCAATCTACAGATCTCGGCATTTCCAACCTATTCATTTCTGGTCAAATTTGGTACGTTTGGGACGTTCGCAATGACCTGGAATTCTTGATGATTTTTTTTTTCCGTTGTGACTTGAATCTGATGGTTTTTGTTGCAGGTTCTGAGGATTTGAATTTCGTCGTGGTGTAATTCCTTTCATGTCCTGCTTCGAATTCAACCTTTCTCCTCACTGTGAGTATTCCATTTCGTTGCTTGGTTAAACTCGGGGGATCGGCTGGGTGTTTTCATGTGGAATGTTGATGTTGTTGTCGGATTTTGAGTGCTTTTGCGGACTTGATTGAATTGGTTTTTTATCTTTTGGATGAAGCGTTGTCAAACAGATCTTGAAAATTGGCTCCGCAAAGACGTTCGCAGCGCCACATGGGCGGCCAGATGCAGCAGAGCAATGCTGCGGCGGCGACCGCCTTTTACGACCACGCTGGCGGTGGGACCCTGCATAATGCAGGCCCCAATAACGACGCTGGTGATGCGGTCATGGCTCGGTGGCTCCAGTCCGCTGGCTTGCAGCATCTGGCCTCTCCCTTGGCGGCTGATCACCGCTCCCTCCTCATGCAGGTACGATGCTTAATATTCGCGAACGTTACCTTATGTTTTTGGAATACCAACAAATTTGGCGCGAGAGTAATGAATCAGCCTTGAGTATTTAGTGTCGAGGTCCTTTCTTTTCCCTTTATTTTCTCAGCACATGCAAATTTCAAGTTTTTGAGGTCGAACGTAGAATTAATGGTTAACAGGCAGCTCAGTTTAATTTGGGGGATAGTTGTTCTGCACTTAAATTTATTTCGTTGTTCAGTTGATGTTATACGTGGTTTTATTTGTTGTTTCTACCATAACAATTGAATTTACCCTTCCCCTCCAATTTCCTAGGGTTATGGAGCACAATCTGCAGAAGAGAAACAGAGGCTTTTAAAATTGATGAGAAACCTTAATTTTGGTGGGGAATCTGGATCTGAACCACATACGCCTACAGCCCAAGCTTCAGGAGCACTTGGTGCAATGGATGGCTATTATTCTCCAGATTTTAGGGGAGATTTCGGTGCTGGACTCTTGGATCTCCATGCTATGGATGATACCGAACTTTTGCCTGAGGTATGCTGATTAATTAGGGTTCTTGATTTTTATGGACGAGAGATTTTTTACGTAATCATGATTATATATGTGCTCCTGGAGGCATATCTTAGGTGTTTTCCTATTAACCACTCAGCGCTATAATCTAGCTAGTTGCTTGATTGGGAACATTTCTGTAAAGAACAAGAACTGTTGGGCGTTGATTTGATTTCATTATTATTTATTTTCTTTGTGGATTTTGTGCTTGCATAGAAATGAAGCTACAGAGAGCTTCCATGTAGCAAGAGTGCTTTTCTATATGGGAGATGCGGGGGGTTGGTGGAGGGGGGAGGATGGAGGATGGGTGAGGGGATCTAGGGAGATACAAAGATAAAAAGAGATGCCTCCATGACCACAACACAAGAATTACTCATCTCTACTTTTATTTGGAACATCACATTTTATGTTTTTAAGCACTATTTTTCTTATACAAATGTTTTTAAGCACTATGATATCTGTTACTTGATGCCATTGTATGAAAACTCACATGGTAATTATTTTTTATGGGTTTTCTCCTTGTTTTGTTTATTTTTGCATTTTATTTTTTAATAGATTTTTTTCCCACCAGCACGTTATCTCAGAACCATTTGAGCCTTCACCATTCATTCCTAGTGGCACTAGAACATTTGACGATGAACTTAATATAGCTACCACCAGGCAGCAAAGAACCCAAGCTGATGAAGATGCCTTGGCTACATTGCCTGTGGTTGAAAAGGAGAATGTTGCCAGAGAAACTAACGTGGCTAAAATCAAAGTTGTGGTAAGCTTCTTATAGTTGCATCAGAAGACTATTTGTAGAATACTAACTAGAAATCCTTTGCATATGGGTGTTATCATTTGACTAATTTTTCTAGAGATTAAACAATGGTGGAGTCACGGAGGTTTTATTCCAGCCTTTTCTATTTCTTATTTTTCATTGGTAGATCTTCATTTTCTTTCTCCTGGTCTGAGCGGTAGTTCAATTAGCAGGTGATAGCTATTTTTTGGGGGTGTGGCATTTGTTAATGTCGATGCATATAGAGTGCATGCCTTGTTAGAACAATGACTTATATCTAAATTTGTACACTGCATGTTTTTCTTCCGTTCTATTTAGTAAAAAAGAAACCCATTGGAATCATTTTTTTTCTTCTGGTAATTTTCTTATCTTTTTTAAGTTTACGGGATCATCTAATTTAGTATTTACGGATTTGCCTGAGGTTTAAATTTTTGGCTTCAAGGATTTCTCCTTTGGATCATAAGAACACACTAAGGCCCGGAGTCTTTACACCTCATGTAATGCTTTTAAGGATAACATTGATATGCCCTATTCTTGAAATTTAAAAATTCATTTATGTACCTCATGTTAATACACCATCAGTTGCAGTGATTAAACTCATTACTGCTAAGTGCTAAGGCTCAAGGAACTTTAAGGACAAAATTTGAAGAGTAAGCCGGGGTCTATTAGTGATGATAACCTTAACATCATTATTATCATCACTAATAGAGGAGGTATTATCATCACTAAAAAAAAAGATGCTTTATAATCTTATTGAGGAGGTATGGGTTTTCTCTATCCCCCTCCATTTCCTACTACATCAGAAATTGTGGAAGGATTAAGATGACCTTCTGTGAGGAGACGTTATCGAGGCTTTAATGGTCTGAGTTCTATGATGTTCTGGTTTGTAATATTGGAATTTAGATTCAAATTTGTGCATCTAAATCTTCGTGTAGACATAAAATTCATCTTTTCATTGCCAATCTTTTACTCGTCACCTTGTCTATGCCCATAATTTTTCCTTTTGAAAAATAACGTGTTACATATTAGTGTTGTGCCCTTAATTTACCCTTGCTTCTTAGATTGGCATTGGTCTTCATGTAACAACTAGCCTTTATTTTCACATTATGTTCTTCACATGTAGTGTATTGTGTCTTAGGTGCGGAAGAGACCATTAAACAAGAAGGAGGTTGCTCGCAAGGAGGATGATATTGTAACAGTTTGTGATAATGTCTGTTTGGCTGTTCATGAACCAAAACTAAAGGTCTGTTTCCTTTGATTGTGCCAAATTTTAATATATAATTTTAGTTTAATTGTTTGATGGTGGCGTTGTTTTACTCGATCATAATTTCTTTTCTCCCATACTTTACATTGAAATAGGTGGACTTGACTGCATATGTGGAGAAACATGAATTCTGCTTCGATGCGGTTCTTGATGAGCATGTTTCCAATGATGAGGTAATGGTTATGTACTATTTTTTCCACTTTGAGTGTTGCTTAGAAAATAACTTCTTATGTTGTTCAACAATTTTGTAGAATCTTTGTTTGAACTGATGTGAATGATTTCTTAAATAGGTTTATCGGGTTACTGTGCAACCAATTATTCCCATCATCTTTGAACGGACAAAGGCTACATGTTTTGCTTATGGCCAGACTGGTATGCATAAAATCTGATCCACTTAATGATAATTTGGTTTTAATGGGGTAAGCATGTTGATGAAAATTTTTAATCATCTTATGATCTAGATGGTTGTTTTCATGTTTGCATACTGGTTGAATTGTAGTTCACATATTTGTATTTCTGGCGAACTCTGATTTAGCTATTTCTAGTGATTTTTGTTTTTATGTATTCAACTGAGGGGGATTTTTATTGAATTTACTGAATAATGCTCACAAAGGAAAAAGTTGCTCCTATTTATATGAGAAGGGCTATGGTAAAGAACCTGGAAACTAAGTAACAGCTAGCTGATAACTAACTAACTAACAGCTAGGTAACAACCAATTTACCTGCTGTAAAACAGTTGACTAAAAGCTAAAGGCTTTAAACTAAAGTCTTAAAGCTACTAGCTTACAAGAAGTTTACAACAGGTGGAAAAAGAACAAGATTACAATCAAGATCTGAAGATTTGACAAGAATTATTCAAGAAAGATGCTCTACATCATTTTTTAAAAACTATTTTTGATTCTGTATACCCCTTTATTACCATGAAGTTAGTCTAAAAAGCTTTTTCTACCTAAATCAGGCAGTGGTAAGACATTTACAATGCAACCATTACCTCTTAGAGCTGCTGAAGACCTCGTTAGATTGTTACATCAGCCAGTTTATCGCAATCAGAGATTCAAGTTGTGGCTTAGCTTTTTTGAGATATATGGTGGAAAATTGTTTGATCTACTCAGTGACAGAAAGTGAGTGTTTAATTTTATTCTCTCTCTCTCTCTCTCTCTCTCTCTCTCTCTTCCCTTTTTTTGATCTTAATTGTTCTCTAGGAGAAAAAAGATGTGGTCTAAGATAATCTGAATTCTTTGCTATTCTAGTATTTTGGTCCCCGTAGGTTTATTTTAGTCCTTGTCCTTATACTCCTCCCTGTCATTAATTATCCAATTTAATTGTAATTGAAATAGGCACGATGTCATGAGGAAGCGGACATAGTTCTTCTTTAAGTTCCTGTAGACATGCAATCCTATAATATATCGAAGTTGCCTCATCAGCACGGATGTGATATCAACTTTTGGCTATAATTTTGTTGGATAATCAATGTTAGTGACTGAATTGATACATTTATGGACCAAAATGAAGTGAATGAAAATACAGATCCAAAAACGTCATTCCTTTTGTTCAAGAGTCCAATTGCTTAATTGAATATTATCTTGTATATTTCTTGCATTTGTTTTCTTTTTCATGCATATAGATGTTCCAGAAATTGACTTTTTTCTGTAATAGGAAGCTTTGCATGAGAGAAGATGGGCGGCAGCAGGTTTGTATTGTTGGACTTCAAGAATTTGAAGTGTCTGATGTACAAATTGTCAAAGAATATATCGAAAGGGGAAATGCAGCAAGAAGTACGGGTTCCACTGGTGCCAATGAGGAGTCTTCTAGGTCCCATGCTATTTTGCAACTTGCTGTTAAGAAACATCCTGAAGTGAAAGATTCGAGAAGGAACAATGACGGAAATGAGCTGAAAAGTGGGAAGCTTGTTGGGAAAATCTCTTTTATTGATTTGGCTGGCAGCGAAAGAGGGGCTGATACAACTGATAATGATCGTCAGACAAGGTACTTTAGATTTATTTTGTCTTCAGATTTTTATCCTCTGGTCTTTTGTTCCTTACTAAGGTTTTTTAATTTTGAGACTTGAGAGGGCACCATCTTGGCTACTTCTTTATTTGGTAGCTGTAGATGAAGTATTTTACCAGTGTCTGTTTTGTCATAAATTGATCATCGTGGTTTAATACATGTACATGATTTAACTGCCTCGAACCTTTGCAGTCCAGAATGTTGCTTGAGATAATTCTTCAATATCTTTTCTGATTCTGTTATATATTTAAATATTCCCTTCAACTAAATTTCTACACTGATTAATAATGCTGCAATTTGTCTATTTTGTTTTGTTGGAACCTTTGCAGGATTGAGGGAGCAGAAATCAACAAAAGTCTTTTGGCTTTGAAGGAATGCATTCGTGCCTTGGACAATGATCAGATTCATATACCCTTCCGTGGAAGCAAACTCACAGAAGTGCTCCGTGATTCATTTGTTGGCAACTCGAGAACTGTTATGATATCATGCATTTCTCCGAATGCTGGTTCATGTGAACACACTCTCAACACTTTGAGATATGCTGACCGGTATGCTCTTCTTTTACATCCTAGGGTTTATGCGATCCATAAATCGAGCTTTCATTTGACTTTGAAGTTACTCTTGAATAAAATCAGGGTCAAAAGTTTGTCCAAGAGTGGAAATGCAAAAAGGGATCCGGCTGTTAGTTCCAGTCAACCAACAACTAGGGATGTTTCTTCAGCCTCGTCTATTCCAGTTCCCACTGAAGCAGAAGATGTTAATATGCTGCGCCAAGAGGTGAAATTAGGGGAGTTGGGAAGAAGGGTCGCAGAGAAAGAGAGTCTCTCCTCTTCTGACTTTGAAGTGCCAACTACTGCTTTGCCATCAAGCAATACCTTTCATGTGCGAGATGACAAGGAGCCGCTTGAAATGAAGAACACTCATGGTGAACCAACTGGTCGAAAGATTCCCATGTATTCACAGAACTCAACTGATGCAGAGGAGAAGGTGCAAAAAGTGTCACCACCTCGCAGAAAATCATCCCGGGATGAAAAATCCGAGAAGTTGGGGAGCTGGCAGAAGAAAGACAGCGGTGTGACTGATCTCTCAACTGCAAGCTCCAAGCAGTATGGTCCAGGAAACTCTAACACAAATGATGCCGGACCCAGAAAGTATGAACCTGAGCCAACTCCCGATGGCAATATTAATGCAATACTGGAGGTTGGCTTCCTTTTATCCATTAATATTTAACTTTATTGTGTTTTCTTGTTCCCGCTCATGCATTCCAATTGATTACTCGGAGTACGGCTCAATTTTTCACCATATCAAAGAAAAATGTTTCTTGTTTCCAAAAGGAAAAACGGCTTAATTGCATTGTGTTTATCATGGAAGTGGCTGCATAATTTTTTCTCCGTTTCCCACAGTGATTCAGTTATTTTATGACGTTTCATCAAAACTGTTGCAGGAAGAAGAAGCGTTAATTGCTGCGCATCGAAAAGAAATAGAGGATACCATGGAGATTGTGCGCGAAGTAAGTTAAAAACTTTTTCAGAAGTTAAAATTGATTCTCTTTTTATTTCATGTGTAATGGATGGTGTGTTCGTTTGGATGTCAGGAAATGAAACTGTTGGCAGAAGTGGATCAACCAGGCAGCCACATTGAAAACTACGTGACCCAGTTGAGTTTCGTGCTGTCTCGTAAGGCCGCTGGTTTGGTTAGTCTTCAAGCACGCCTCGCAAGGTTCCAGCACAGACTTAAAGAACAAGAGATACTCAGCCGAAAAAGAGTACCGCGTTAGGGTTGGTGGATGAGAGTTTGTTTCCCCGTTCCCGTCCCCGACTCCAACTCCAACTCCTAAGCTGTATCCTGCTCTGCTTTCTTCTTCATCTCATCATATTATATAAAATCATTAATCATTGATTTGTACATTTCGAGCTTGAAAAGATTGGAATTGAATTTGCTTGCTCTCTCTCTCTCTCTCTCTCGGCCTCGCTTGACCTTTCATATTTATTTATACAACTTCTAAGCATCTAACAACCATAACCGAAGGTATATGTGTGTGTGTAAATGTAATATGTTTATGTTTGATGAAATACCATATTTTTTCCTTCGTTGTTTAGTAACTTAGTTTCGCAGGTGCAAGCGACCATTCCCTCAATTCAAGGATGTTTGGATGATTGGGCGCCAATTCCTTTTCACATGTAACACTTTAAGGTACTGCTGATAACCATTATGTTTCTCGTTTTTAGCTTTTCATTTTGGAAAAATAATAATATTGTGTTTGATAACCTTTTTTTATCCTAATAAATTATTTTTAAAAATAAAATATATTTAATAATGTTCTCCGTTTCTTAAACAGTTAGAAATGTTGAGAGAGATTAAAAAGTGATCAAATTACAAATTTAACTCTAAGTTTTAATTTCATTCTTATAGTTTGGTTAAATCTTACCTTTTTTAAATTGTATTTTACTAGCATCATTTATTTTATTTTTTTACTCAATCTTTGTCTAGAGCTTCGAATGAGACTTCATATTGAAACGCAGACTCACATGAAAAATTTACATAATTTATTTTATATTTTTACTCAATCTAAGACTCAAAAAATCAACTAGTACAATTATACAATTATTAATAACAATGTAGATGATTTATAAAATTTTAACTATAAAGACTAAATTGAAATTCAATTTAAATTATAGGAACACTAAGTCAAGTCTAATTAGAGATTGAATCGAAAATTTTAAACTTACAAAATTGTAAGGACCAAATTCTATTTTATAAATAGTTTAGTAGTTAGATGGATTGAAATATATTAAAAGGAATTTTTTAAGAGAGGAGGTTTTACAAAGATTGTCCCAAAAGAGAGGTTTTACTAATGGCTATGAAAGTATTTTTGAAAATTGAATGTGTTAATAAACAATCACGTTTTCCTTTTTAAAAGAACATAAATTGAAACCTGAATATATTAAAAAACAATGACATTTTTTATAAATATAAAATAGAAAACAGTAGCAAAAAGGATCGTCTAACATCTTGTTAACACCCCATTTATATTTTTACTATCAAACAACTACAATTTCCTCACTCTTCAAACTGTTTTTTTTTTCAAAATTGAAAACACTATCATACAGTCTCCAATTATCTTTGTGAAATTTCAACTCTGGACGCTTTGAGACTTGTCAAACAACCCTTGATTTAATTAGACACGTGATAAATTTTAATTTCAAGACATGCAATAAATTTAAAAACCACTATGCAACAATTTATGATTAGCGAAAATTTATCCTCCGAAACAGAGCTGCATGTTTCGTTCAAACAATATAGAAAAAATATAAAAGCCTAAGCCTAAACTTTGGTGTAATGTGCATCAAAAGTCAAAGCTGCATTATTCCTCATCACTGTGCAGACCTGGCACATTCGTGGACTCTAACCTAAAGCTGAAGCTAAAAAGGGAAAAAAAAAAAAAAAAACCAAAACGACTTAGTCTTACGACCAAGCACTAAGAAACAACCTTGCAAAGTTGGCTGCCGTAGCTGTCTAAGGTCACTCTCTAATCTTACAGACATAAAAAAACTTAATACATGAAAAAGAAAAAAAGATTAAATAATTCGAATACATTTAAACTATGTTCGGGATGGATTCGGACGAGATGAATTTTCTTCACTTACCATATCAATATAAAGTGGTTGGGCAAATTACTGGGTCCCTGCCCACCAGAATTTGCTTTGAAGGTTTCTAAACTCGCTAACTGCAGAAGAATATCTGATCCATATGGCAATGTGAAGAAACTTTTTTAGCAATTATGGGTATGGTTGAGGTCTACTTTTATGTATGTAATCAGTCAGCTCTCAATTTCAAAATTTCCTTTGCTGTTCTAAGTCGGAAATAAGGCATATGTCCCTACAAAAAGAAAGTACAATTGTAAGAATCCGATAAAGCATATATTCAACACTTTATGGGTTAATTATCTACTGTGTCCCAAAACTTTCAAGTCGTTTAATAGGTCTGTCTAACATTTTTAAAATTTCATGGACCTACTAGAAACAAAATTGACGTTTAGGACCCCAATTAGGTACTTCTCAAAATTTAGGGGGGACTTAATAAGACAACCTGAAAGTTACTTAACCTAATAATTCATATCATAATCGAAACATAAGTCCAAGGAGGTAAAATACACATTCAAAGCCACCGCTTCCCTAAAAACGACTCCGGATGGTTTGACTTGTAAGTAATCAGAAATGCACGTGTAAGAAACTTCCAACCATATTTACCTGCTTGAAACAGAGATTCAAACCTCTGCTATAAAAATCAGCATATTTGATCATAAACATGCCACAGTCAAACCTGTTTCAGTTGAAAGAATTGTAAGAAAAAATGCAATGTATATGTAAAACACATTTTGTTCTGCTTTTCAGTAATTTTTCAGAATAGAATAGATTATAGACAAGAAACAAACATTAATTCAAAAGGTAAGTAGTACTGACCCATTTTCTTGCTCAGGAAGGTCTTCGACAAATTCTTGTGTCCAAGAACTGATATCAATATCTTTTCCACTCTTGTCCTTCACCTCATCTACAAAATATCTCGCCTAGTACAATATGATCAAAATTATAAGTTGACTTCCAATCCAATCTTTTTATAGAGTATTGTGCAATATCAAATTCTGTCATGAAAACAGCATCGAGTGTATTCAAGGTTCAAGGGACACTAAAACTTAATGATGTAAAAAAGCTTCTTCCAGTCTAGGCATCAGATGCAAGGGCGTTAGCCCAAGTAAAATGAGGTGCACAACATATGTAACATAACCACAAATAGTAATCAGTAGAAAATTATACCCAAACAAAATAACTTTCTTAAGGATATGCAGATAAATGCAAAAACAAAGGAAAAGGATAAATATGTTCTAAAAAAGGGAAAAGAAAAAAAGAGCGAGAGAAGAAGAAAATTCTCAGAGATATATGTAAGAAAATGAAGAGGGTATTAGGAAATTCGAAAAACTTTCGACCTCGTCAAGATGAAATAAAATGCAAGAAACATGCGTCACTCACCTAAATGCATGTCATAATTGCAGCAGTGTTCAAGGCAATGACAGATGCATGCCATGGGTTGGTGGAAAGTAATATAATTTGTGGTAATGACAATGAAAATTTATAAAGGGGAAAGAAAAGTAGGAGAAAGGTTAAAGAAAGAGAAATTATAGAGAGAGAGAAATGTTAAGAGAGGGGAAAAGAAAAGTTGTAGAGGGAAAGGAGAATTTTAGAGACATAAAAGTTTGAGAGAACAATGTTTTGGTCGAGGGAGTGATGTTAAAGAGACAGGGAAAGACAGTTATAGAGAAAAATTTCAGAGAGTGAAATCTCACAGACATATATATGTTCGAAAGAGAAAGATATGCAAAACTGAGTCACATATGATTTCTGTTCAATGACCAGTTTTCTAGTGGATCTACTTCCAAGGCATTTCAATTTTACTACCATGTTTTTAAAATGTAATAAATCCTCCTCAGTACACATTCAACACATCACACAGTAATTATCAACCTTATCTAATAAATCCTCCTCAGTACACAAGAGTAATCCAGATACCAAGTACGCCCTAGATGTGTACTACCATGAAACTACCTTCCCAAAAAGTTCAGGAACCATACAAATGAAGCAACGAATTGCAAGGAGAAAATACAAAGCATACCAATATTTTTAAAACATGAGAATCCATTCCCCTGAGAGAATCAAGATACTGAAACTTCTTCTCCTTCTTGTTGATTACTGCTAGGCACCAGTGTACTTCTCTATGGATGGGAACAAATATCTAAACAAGTTATTAAATTGGGTCAGTGACAAAATAATTCATGACATACCTCAATGGTCACTGTTTAGTTGAATAATAGAGTTTAGAGGGGGCCGAATATTACTTTATCACAATCGATGAGTTCATATCTCAACTTCTTTTGGCTGGTCCATCTTCTAACAGATTTGTAATCATAGCCATTCCTTCCATTTATCAACTGTCAGCAACAAGAAAGGAAAAACCGACCTAAAGTCAAATCATCACTATTGAAACATGGACAAAAAGTAGAAACCACACTTTCATTAAGAACAAAAGAAAAATATTTATATATGTAAGAGAGAAATGTCTGAGTGAGAAACATAAGAAGAATGTTACAATTTATTGCGCGGAATGAAAACCATTTATGCATAAAAGAGGACTCCTTTTCATGGTGCAATTCCCTCAAAAGCAGTTTTCAGGCCTGGACTGACTTACAATGCTATACATTTTGTAAACTCAAATGTGGCCATAAAGGCAGTTAAACAGCTCAATTTCTTATAATTATAAAATTCAGGAATGTAAAACCTTGCAATCTTAAAGTAAATGCACATAGTGAATGTATGGATAGTATGACAAAAATAATTAATGGGTGATTAAATGACATAAACAAAAAGAAATTACAGTATAAAGTCCAAGTAAAGCTATCCAACCTTTTTATAGAAAAAGGTATTAAAGAAATGGCATTTCAAATACTTCTCTGGCTCCCTTCTTTCCCTTTCTTTCAGCAACTCAAGATACAAATTAATCACCTACAAAGGATAAATACAAATTATATAAACAATCAAGGATATTATATTATTTTATTTTCGCAGATGCATGAAGAGGAAACATATTAGCACAAAGAATACCTCATCGTTTAACCAGGCACCTGGTCTCAGACACTGCAAAGTTTGCCCACTAATCTCAATATTTGAATTCTCATGAGCGACCAAAACCTTCCTCCTACATAAATGAACAAAAGTCATGCAAAGAACAAAATGCACTGCATGAAAGATTATAAGTTCATCACAAAATACCGGTTAGTAGAGAATGCACGTTCAACCTCAGCCTCCTCTTCCTTTGTAAGAGGAGTAAAAAGATCCGGTGGAATCTCCTGGAAAAAAAGAATACGTTTTCAGTAGCAGAGAAGTGGTGAAATTCCATTATCCAGAACAAGAGTTTGGAAGGAGAAAAAGAAAAATTAAAGACTATAGAAGTAAAGAAACGTACATCGAGGGGCTTCTTCTTTGGTGTTTGCGATTGAAGCAGTAACCGACGCTTCTCATTCAGCTTGATTTCGAAATCCAAGCTTCTCAACCTCGATGTCCGCTTTTCCACACTCTGCAGCAATTTCTTGTACGCAGAAACGCTGGACATGTCCCGTTCCAGTGACAAAGCCCCAAGCATTTTCTCAGCGTTCTCCATCTTCGAACTGTCGTTCTTCAAATCTATAACATCGTAAGACGACGATGGCTGATGAACATCCAACATCTTCACGTCCAATTCCTGCACTAGAGGCCTCTGGTCCGAAAACATTGACCTCCCATCTTGCTTGTCAACTTCAATTACCTCTACTTCCTCCTCAGTCTTCGAATCTTCAGAAGCACCTCTTTCAGTTTGCGTGTCTGAATCCAAATCAATGACCTCCTTATCCTTCGATAAGCACCGCAAAGCAGCAATTGCACGACTCTTGGCAATCCGGTAATTGTACGACAAGATATTCCCGACGTCATCTCCAGCCTCGTCCTGTTCCAAACGGTCGCCATTTTTTGACTCCCAAAACCTATACAAGCTCTTCGAGAGCCCAAATTTGAGTATTCTGCAAGGGCCATGGACTTCTCGACGCAATTGCGACGTCTCCTCGGGGTACCGGGAGAGCCTCGCCACCGTAGAGTTCGATGAGACAACTGGCCGATCCGAAGGCATAGTAGAAAATTTAGGTTTCTTCGATACGTGAAAATCCGGTGATCTCAAAGACCAATACGAACGATTGAGGCTCAAACACTCGTCGTCGCGCTTACGGTTGCTGGTTCGGGCACCCATTAGTAGCCACGGAGATGAAATCAAAACCCCTACGACATCGCATCTCATCAAATGAAAACCATTTCAGACAAAACGAAACTGAGAAAACTAGGGTTTTTGCGCGGAACAAAGAAGCCGGCAAAACCCTAAGGGCCGAGGATTGGATACAAACTACACGACCTATGGAGCCAAAATGAAGCTCAAACGTCGGAACTTTCTCAAGCAAGAACTCTGAGAAACGGAAGGCCAAAGCGAAAGCAGCAGAGAAGAGAGTGAAGCCGAAATTCAAATGGGAAGAGAAGCTGGGAATCGATTGAGATACAGAAACGGAAATCGTATCTGTAATTGGCACGAGTAGATTTCAGAGTATCGATTTGGAGAAGAAGTGAGTGAGTGACGTTTCGATCTGCAAAACAAATTTCTATGAAATTCTCTCTTTCGATTTTGTGCGTTCGTCGTGTTTGGTTTCGCAGAAAGCTTCACGCGCCCACCTCGGCGTCGGCTCACGCTGTCGCCAAGTGTCCCTTTGAATTAAAGCGGGGTTTCTCACTCTCCCACATTTCACAAACTATATTTTCAAAATTGTCCCATCCTATAAATAATTTCACAACTACCATTTTTTTTTAAAGAATATTACATTTATTAAAAAGTGGAACTCCAATGATGTATCTCGAGTCTTGGCAAAAATTTTAATAAGATTTTGAAATGAATGAAGAAAATATTTTTATTTAATTTAAGAATAATGTTTCACCATCTATCTTCTTCATCTAACTGACCAAAATTTCAAACATGTTGAACATGATACAATAAAACAAAACCATCTGGGGTGGGAGTGAAATTCAATTCTGTGGTAAATTTGACTCACTCGACTTGACTAAATCAGAAAACTTCTAAAAGATGCTCATGAATTTCCTCCAATGAATTTCAAAATCATCGTGAAATCCAGGTAGATGGTGGTTCCATCTGCACGATGAACTCCATCTTTGGTTTGATGGCTGTATTTGCGAGGGATCGAGTGCGGTATTTGAACGTTTTTCTGTGTATCTGGTTCCTATATGGGATGTAGGGAAATGACATTCTCATTTCGCTCGACCAAAGCATGCAAAGCCATCTCGACATCAGCGAACGGTTGCCCGACATAGAGTTGCAGCTGACCCTTCTTCACAACAATAATCTTATTTGTATTGACTTTCTCGAGCTCCTACAAAATCGCCATACAAGGATGTTAAGCCTTTCTTCATGTTCATCGTGTTATAACTTTTACATGTTGTTGATGAACTAATAACAAACCACAAGCTCACTTTGACAGGATGATTGAAGTAAGAAAATGTTCTCATTGCTTACACCTAATCATTCTGTGACTGAATTTCTCAAATCTTTGCTCTATCCATATATACTTATTGTATGAAGTGATTCTATTTACATGAAAATTTGTAATGCAAGAGAAACTAGATATCATGCTATTGAAGAAAGAATTCTTACTTTTGTAGCTAGAGGAACAATGTCCGCTGTGAAATTTCCGAGCTCTTCAAAAAATGATTCTAGTAGATAACAAAAGTTATTGGCATCAGCTCGGTCTTCAAAAGCAACCGTATATGTAGATTCTCCAGTGTCTCGTGACTTGGAAGGAATCTTTAAGGTGAAAAGTCCATCTAGTTCTTCATCATCGGAACCTCGATGCATAAAAATAACCTGTCATGTAATACATTTTGAGGTTAAAAAGAGATTATGGTGTTCAAAAACAACTTTCTGCACTTCAAGCTTCGAACTAAGAGAACAACAATTTAAATATGGAGATTTCGAAAATCACTTCCAATAAGTTTGACCTACATTTCCATTGTTTTGAAGCATTTAATTTACTCAGAAGAACACAACTCAATAATTAGCATTATTTCTTTCGAGACCCATCAAACCTTTTCCATAACCAAACTTCATATCTTGAATCAAGCAAGACGAATACAAAATACGAAAAAACAGCCACAAAAACCACAGTAGAGTGTCAATGTAGATCATTTTACAACTCCGCCAAAACCAGTGATAATCATTACCAAGGACTGAAAATCCCTTCTATCTAACATTGGAGCCCTTCAACTAAATTCATTTTTAGATAGAACAAGTTGATACAATATCAGTTGAATAAAATTTAAGGTCCCATTTAATAATCATTTTGTTTTTGGTTTTATGTTTTTTAAAATTAAGCTTGTAAACACTATTTCCGTTCATGTATTTTTATCTTTTGCTATCTACGAGGCTAAATTTTGAAAACTAAGAAAAATAGTTCTCAAGAATCTTGTTTTTGTTTTTGAAATATGACATTCAAATTTTTAGAAAAAAATGAAAATAAACTAAAGAAAAATTGTGAGCGAACAAGCAAAATTTTCCAAAATAGAAAACAAAATACAAAATGGTCATCAAACAGGGTCTAAATATTTGAAATACTCATACATAATCTCAACAAATAACTACAATATTAACTAACCTCGTGTTATCTCTCATAAATAATCTCAACTAATAACTACAATATTAACTAACCTTGCATTATCTCGGTATAGGGAACGAATACCAACATCCATATGTCACTTTTGTAGTGTCTTCATAAATAAAACCATGCCATTGAGAAGAAAATAAGTATATACAACAAAGTTTTTTTTTACTTACAAGAACGTAAGGAAGATTCAACCACCATAAATCAGCTTCCTTATTTGATTGTTTGCTTCTACCTTCGTGTGCCTTAGATTTCTTTCCAGCAAAACTGTCGTTTTGACCCACTGAAGGAGGCATTTTCACCCCTAAATCTCTTGAATTCTGTGACTTTGATTTCTCAGCGGAAGAAGTCTCCTGAAAGACACCTAAAAACTTAAGAAACAAACCATAATTATTTCTTACGACAAAGGAATAGAAAAAATAAGTTCTGAACAAGTATAATCAAAAGTTGAGAAGAAGAAACTATTGTACCAACATGGTAAAAAATGATTAATGATTGCAAACAACCAGCTTTAAACTTTAAACCAAACAAATGTCATGTAATTTAGAGACATTACCATTATTTGGTTTGTTCTTCAAACCCTTTATTTTGGTTTCTGAAGTCTTTCTATCACTTCGTGGTTGCAAAACCGATTCATCGTTGAACATTGCCGAAACGCTTTCTTTGATTTCCTTATCTACCCGCTTTTCTGCATCCTTCACTCCCACATTATCATCATTAAATTTTGCATCTCTAGTTGTTGTACCCTTACTATTTGAGCCACCCTTCTTCCCGTTCGATACAAAACCTTGAAACCCCTTAGGCTTCTTCATTCTATCACCTGAAGAGTTTCTGTATTTTAACTTTTTCTTGAATATTAGACTTTTATTTTGCTCTTCACCATTCAAATCATCCCTTTCAACCTCTTCATCAACATTATCAGACTTGAGCAAATAGCTTACCGGTGACTCCGGTATCCTTTCTCTGGTGGAATTTAGCCTCTTCTGTAACTTAACAAGTCGTGAATCAACCTCTTTCTCAATGCCAATCTTAGCCCTGGAAATTACATTTCTATCCTCCGTGCCATCGTTCCCAAAATCATCAGAGATTTTACTTTTCTCCTCCTTCCTTGCTTCCCTAGCCATTGACCTAATCTCTTCAATTTTTTCCCTCATTTTCGACTCCTCCAAATAAACCAATTTGCTCGCTTTGGATCCGAAATTTCCATGGACGATTCTCTCATTTCCATTCAGCAACACTTCTCTTCGGCTTTTGCTCTTAAGACTCGAGCCTTCGTCTGAATTATTATCTTCCTTAATTGAATTACCATATCCTAAAACCCACACAGTACAGATAGTCTGAAACGCAAAAATAGCGAGAAAGTAAACACCAAACCTGAGAAAACTTCCCCAAGAGAAGTTCGCAACATCAAAATTAAGCAACGAGGCAGTGTTGGAGCCCTCGGAGAGTCGAGATTCACCGTCCACGGTTGTGGAGGAAGGGCAACATTCCGCCGGAGATGAAACCTCGGTCTCAACGCCGGCAGGTCCTGAGATTTCCGACGATTCGATTTGGAGTGCGGAGTCGGTCGGAGGAAGATTGGGAAGGATGGGAGTGACAGTGAACGGGGAAGGTTTAGTTAGGGTTTTGAGAATTTTGATGCGCAGATGATTTTTCCTTCGTGTGAGCTTCGAAGGAGATGAAGGGGAAATGGAAGCTGAAACTAAAAGCAGCGGTTTGGTTCTGTAGATGGCGAATTGGTTGCGAGGAATGGAGAAGGAAACGGCGGAGCCGTACGTACCCGCCATATTCAGCGGAGAGGGAAGCTCGTGAAGTGAAAGTGAGGTTTGAATTTCTGGTAAACAATGGCGTAAGAACAAGATGGGCCTGGGCCCATTTCAAAAAGTCAGAAGTGGCCCAAGCCCAACCTAAAAGGATAGACCCAGACCAAAATCACAAGCCCAAATAAGTGTGGGTTGTCTCCATTTACACGGTAAAAATGAAAAATAGCTAAACGTTCGTTAGACTTTAAATAATAATAATAAAAAAAAATTTAGATTTTAGATTTTTTTTTTTTTACTTAGGTTTAAAAAATACTCCTAAAAGTTTTGACCTGAATCTAAAACAATGTGACATTTAATATTGAAGCTTCTCTCAATTCTCTAGTCAATTTTGTTATTTCTCTTTTGTGTGCTTATCTATTATCTACCCACTTGACCTAGTACAATAATTTCTTCTATAATTTCTTTTTTTTAGACTTAATCTAGAAAAACTACTACATTAATTGTCACGTCGTTCCAAATTATGCACCGTGAAACTTGAGTTCTATCCCGCGGCAAAAATTGGTGACAAAATTGAAGAAGGATTAGAGATTTTATCCGATAATTAGAGATTTTATTTATTTTATTTGAAGCCCTAAACCGATTCAAATTGAATCGACCCAAACCGACCTATAATTCTATATAAATAACTCTTTAATTTGTACAAGTGAATCCTAGTAAGCAGCCACATCAGATTTCTATTAAATCTTAACCTAATTTTTTAAGGACGGGGCTAAATTGTAACCAATTCTAAAGTACATGGATTAAATTATTAGTTTTGAAAGTTAAGGGACTAAATCGTTATTTTAATTAAAGTCTAGAGACCAACTATGTTTTTTAACCATAAATAAATTTGATGGCAATACTTTACGGCTGACTATTAAGCTATATTCATATTTTCATGTTAAATGTAGGTTTTTAAATTAAAGAGTTCCATAAGCTCAACATATCCTTTTGTGTATTGTTGAACACTAACATTAAAATGATTTTGCATCTTTAGATTTCAGATTTAGATATCTTGAACAAGTATGCTTGCTCCATCATTTAATTCTATCACGTTGCTTTGAGTATTACTTTGAAAAATGGATTGATTAAGTAGACTCGAGGGAAAGTATTATAACTTTAATTTTTTTTATATATAATTTTGTTAATCTAAGATGAATTAAGAAAGGGAAAACTTTGTTGGTTAGAATTAACATTAGGACTAAAGAGAAGTAACAATTTCATCAAATAAGAGATTCTCTAGCCATATTCTCTAAGTCATATGATATTCGATCCTATTTGTTTCTCTACAAACTTGTTTAAAATAAAAGAAGAGACATATTTTTGATGTCTTGAATCGTGTTTGCTTCATATTGTCATTCTATTTCCTCTCGAGTCCTACCGGAGCGGTGCCCATGTGGGAAGATTGTTTGGATTTACCTCAAACATCTTTTGCAAGCGCATTTAAGTGCCTTTCATTATAAATCATTTCACCGACTATCCATGTGGGACAAAAAAAAATAATCTGATAAACCATTTTTTACATTTCCAACACCTGCCGATAACAGAGAAGATATAAAATATCTCGTTGTACCTACCTTTCACCTAGAAATTCTAGACTTCCTATTTCGATTAATTAATATTAACGGCTATATTATAAACTAGAAAAGTTAAGATCTCCACCCATCTAATCTAACGGTTGAATTTAAACAAATTTACAACAGCGGAAGAATGCGTTATTGGACAGAGATCCAAAACTTTTGACAAATCAAGTGGGTCCAGGAAGTGATACCCCAGCCCAAATTTGTGGGCCTACGGAAGGTACGTTCCAACCATCTGCTAATGCCTTTTCTATCCAAATTTTCCCAACTATCAAATATAGTTTGATTATTTTTTAAAAGGAAAAGTAGCATAAGACAAGAAATCCAGATTCATGGTATTATAATTTTCTAATCAAATAATATTTTTTCCATAAAAATTTGTCCAAAACAGAAGGGTCCATAGTCTATTGCAATGGTTCTATTTTCCAGATCCCAATACAACTCAATTATTTAATTCATTTCCAAAATCAGATTATTTTCGCCTTTCCTGTCGTAAATCAAGAGATCGACATGAAAAAAAAATTAATCAGAATAAATTATTAATTTATCAGCTAAAATAAAAAAAAATATTTTACTTAAAAATTATTTTAAAAGTATTAGTCAATATAGTTTGTTTTGCCTACACCACTACTGCCAAATCCACTTCACCAGTAAATTCAAATAATTGTTACAATATTAAAAAAGAAAAAAAGTGGAAAATAATATTAAATAGGGCCAGAGATTAAAATAATTCAACTGTAATTTAAATCTGCTTGACCTACATACAGAAGACGCCCAAAAACAAGCAAGGTCGGAGCGAAACCACTGCGAAGTTTCCTTCCCATTTTCCTTCGTCCTTCTGACAAATTTATTATTTCCTTTTTTTTTCCCTTCTCAAAATTCATAAATTTCCTCTTTATTTTCTCTCGCTCCGGCCCCAATTACGCCGGAGGAACTCTGCTCTTCAATGGCCGACGACGATGATGACGGATTCTTTTCTCCTCCGTCGTACAAACGCTACGCTCTCAGCGGCAAAATTATGCTCGGCGCAATTATTGTACTGTTGTTTGTCGTTATCCTCATGATTTGTCTCCACCTCTACGTCCGATTATACCTCCTCTCCTCCAACCGCCGGCAAGCCCCCCGCCGCCGCCGCCACCGCCGCGCGCACTTTGTATTTACCGCTGAGCCCCGACACGCCGCCGCCGCCGCCGCTCCGTCGCGTGGTTTGCCGCAGTCGATTCTCAAATCCCTACCCGTTTTCGTTCATTCAGCGAAGCCCGACCCGGATCCGATTTGTTGCGCGGTTTGCTTGTCGGAGTTTGAAGAGAACGAAATCGGGCGTATTATCCCCAAATGTAAACACAGTTTTCACGTGGGCTGTATAGATATGTGGTTTTATTCGCACGTGACCTGCCCGCTTTGTAGATCCGAAGTGCAACCGGAAACCGGGTCGGATAATCCGCCCGACGTATCCGTATCTATTCATGACCCGGATATACCCGAACCGGGTCCGAGTTCTGGATCTACCAGAAGCGGAGAAGAACCGGGTTGTCCTTCTCCGTCTGAGTTGCCGTCATTGGTGGAGCTGGTGGTAGCGTCGTCCGAGGAGTCGATATCTGAGGAAGGACTACGGCAAATTGACGACATGTCGGTTCACGGCACCTCTAGGACAACGGCGAATTTCGTGAAGTCGTTGTCGTTCAAGAGAATCCTCTGTAGGGATAAACGGGACGGAGTTTCTCCGTCGGAAAACGCCACGGAGGAACGGGATCTTGAGAAGGAGGAGATTGAGGCGGCGCGTTCAGTGAGTTGACTCGGTGGGTGGAAAGATGGATAGCGGTTCTGTGACGGAACTCGTTTTGACTTTGTAAATATCTTTTAAGGATGTAAACTAAAATACAAATATGGATTTTTGTAGATTTCTTATTGTTTTCGCATTTTTAAAAATTCATCCATGTTACTTTTTTTCTTTTTAAGTTATTACAACTTTGTGTTTTTGGTTCTTAACCATTTATTATATTAAACCAAAGAAAATTTTAACTATTTTTTATATTAACAAAATTAAAATTTAGATACATGTAAACCACACATTTTTTTAACTTCAAAAACATAAATTTAGGATGCACCATGTTTTATTCGTAATTTTTATACTTTCGCCTATGAGTTTTAAAATTAGCATAATGTTGCATAGGTAACTATATCAACAATAATGTACTTAAAAAAAAACAAAAAAACTATATGAACAATAATTGAAAACAAAATATACACCACACAATTTACAAGATAAATGATAACTAAAAAAGGGAAAAAAAATCTAACATAGGAACGGTTTGGGAAAGGAAATTGTTTTCGAGGTGAGGGACTTAGCCATTTTCTTGACCAATATAATTATTAGGCGGTCCGATATGTACGACCCGTACCAATATTCATGGGGTTCCATCTCAAAACCAATTGGCAATGAGAGGAGTAGCCCATGTCTATTATAAACCATTGTTAAGTCTCTTCTCTTTTCAATGTGGGATCTTTAACAACCCGACAGGTTCAACCTATAATATGAAAAGGGTAACCGCCGGTCGTGAGATCTGGACCCCGCACCTATAAATAGAGAGCTTCATTCTTATCCCAAATATCAAATTTCTCCTCGAACTTACTATTAAGTCTGAACTGTTTATTGACTTGAATGTCAAAGATTTTGCCCTCTTGTGCAGGTCTATCCATTGTGCAATGAGTCAGCGAGTCTCGGTTTGACCTTGACTAAGGTTTGACCTCATTCATTTTCTTACATAAACATTTGGTCCGTCTGTGGGGAATGACACTTCAAGTCATTCCCATCATCAAGTATCGGAGATGGTTCAACCAACGAACTCCGCTGAAATACCTAGCCATCCCAGTCGCCGAGTCCTGAATGACGACAATGGCCCAAAGCATGAAGTGAATGCTAAGGCTGTTGGGGATTAGGTTCAGGGGAATCGTGGGATCGATCAACCCCGCAGGTCAACTCGCAACGTGAATCCGTCCCTTCCTCCGACTCATCCACGACCGAGCAAGACCCACCGCAATCGAGGTGAGACATCTAAGAAAGTGGCGCGTAAGTCTTCTCAAGCAGCAAATCTGGAGGACTTTGCCACCCTCCAACATGAGCTCGATGACATGCGTACTTAGGTGCGGACTATGGAAGAGACTTATAATGAGTTAATGCGAGCCAATCGCACGTGAACTCATTCACGGGTCCAAAGGGATGGGGAGAACCAGCACTACGAAGGCGAGACCAGGGATCCTCCTCTACACCATGAGAATGACGATCTGCACCCATTGATAATGATGGGGCTTATTACAGTTGCCTAGAGGGCGACCTGAGGAAAGTTCTTCTCAACAACAAGAAGAAGAACTCCGCCTTACGAGGTGTGGACGTCTCTCCTTCTTGCTCGTAGAAAAACTCGAACTCGAAGGCCCAATCTTGTTATACTCTGATTGTAGTTAAAGAAGTTATCACAAGGGAAGAGTTCGATCTGATGAAAAGCAAGTTCGATGCTCAGGTCGAAGCTCTTAAGCAGAGGTGCGAAAAGAAAGAAAGTGTGTTCGATGATGGCGAGATGGGAGAATCTCCATTCACCTCGGACATCGTAGAAGCACCAATACCTGCCAAATTCAAGACGCTCGCTATAAAACCTTACGATGGGTTTAAGAACCCAAAAGATTATGTGGAGGTCTTCGAAGGCCTCATGGATTTCTAGGCAGCATTCGATGCCATCAAGTACCAAGCATTCCAGATAGCTCTAATGGGAGTGCTCGGCTCTGGTACAGGAGGCTGTCGGCAAGGTCAATCTTGACCTATAGTCAGCTAAGGAAGGAGTGTTGGGAAATTATTGGTCCTGTATAATTTCCCTACCACAGAAAATATCCAACACAACCAAAAATATGCAAATAGGAAGAAAAGCAGTAAAGAACAACAAAACGACGTAGCAAAATTAAACTGGTTCACCACTAAGGGCTACGTCTAAATTCACTAATAATTTTTAAAAGAATTAGATACAAAACTCTCCTCGGAAATAATATCCCCTAGAGGTCCCAACAAAAGCCCCTGGCTTCTAAGTATTTTAACACAATAATACTTAGAAACATGAATGAAAAAACTCGCAGAATAATCGAGAACAAATTACCCCGAAAATATCGATCTCTATCTACCCTTTCTGTGTTGCCAACACCCGAGCCGCCGCCTCTGAAACTGCTGCAAAAACACCAAAAAACCGCGCTGCCTTTTGTTAGCTTTATGGCTCCAAATATTTTGATGATCACAAACAAAGTATAAACTAACAATTTGAGTGTTTCAAAGTGTCCATACTGTAGAGCTCGAAAAGACAAAACAAATGTCTGTCAAATCATTCAAATCGGAGTTTAAACGAAGAAGTTATGGTCAAAACAAGTTAGGAGAAAAATTCTACGTAGTGGGTGACGTGGACAAATCCTACATGGTGGGTGACATGGACAAGTGGACCGCTTAGAAGTTGACATGTGGTATCAAGAGGACATACTTATGCTGACGTGACATCCAACAATCGAACAAATGAGAAGATGACATGTGGCGCTTTCAATCTCCACAAATCAATTTCCACCAATTTCTCTCAATCTCCTTCATCACTCTCAATCTCCTCAATCACTCACAATCTCAATGATTTCTCAATCTCCACCAATTTCTTTTAATCACCATAATTATGTTTTCATTTCATTTCCTTATCTCACATCTTAATCTATA